AGAAGAAGGAATTGGAAAAGTAGAAAGCTTAAGTGATGTTCTGTTGTAGGGAAAGATTTGGTCTAGTAGAAAGTTTGATTTTAGAGAAGAAGGAATTGGAAAAAGTAGAAAGCTTAAGTGATGTTCTGTTGTAGAGAAAGATTTGGTCTAGTAGAAAGTTTGATTTTCACTAGAAGATTTTAGAGAAGAAGGAATTGGAAAAAGTAGAAAGCTTAAGTGATGTTCTGTTGTAGAGAAAGATTTGGTTTAGTAGAAAGTTTGATTTTCACTAGAAGATTTTAGAGAAGAAGGAATTGGAAAAGTAGAAAGCTCAAGTGATGTTCTGTTGTAGAGAAAGATTTGGTCTAGTAGAAAGTTTGATTTTCACTAGAAGATTTTAGAGAAGAAGGAATTGGAAAAGTAGAAAGCTTAAGTGATTTTTACTGTCTGAAATAAAAGAAAAGGATTTAGTCAAAGTTTTTATGATTTTTACTGGACAGTTATATAAAGTAAAGGTTTGGTCAGACAGAATGTTTGGGTGATTTTCACAAGGAAGTTGAAAACAGGATGCGTTTGGAAAAACTGGAAGCTGAATCTGTAGAAGAGTAACTAAACGAACCGGATGACCATTTTGTCAAATATCTGGATGGTTTCAAATGTATAATCATAAATCGTACAATATCTGAGTGAACAACTGATACTCTTCCATGTTAATTTAGTAAATTATGTTGTTGTTTTTTTAAAGTTTCTGTGAGGAAATTTACTAAGCCAGTGGGTGCAGTAACACTAGGTTTACAGTAACTTACATAAAAGCTTAGTTTCATTAGGTTTCTTCTGGATTTTTAAGACGTTAGAAACATTTTGTTACAATAAGAGTACATTAATTAAAGGGCGTAGTAAAATTGACACAAGTGTTAGAACATTTTGTTACAATAAGAGTACATTAATTAAAGGGCGTAGTAAAATTCACACAAATGTTGGAACATTTTGTTACAATAAGAGTACATTAATTAAAGGGAGTAGTAAAATTCACACGAGTGTTAGAACATTTATTACAATAAGAGTACATTAATTAAAGGGGTAGTAAAATTCACACAAATGTTAGAACATTTATTACAATAAGAGTACATTAATTAAAGTAAATTTCACACGAATGTTAGAACATTTATTACAATAAGAGTACATTAATTAAAGGGCGTAGTAAAATTCACACAAATGTTAGAACATTTATTACAATAAGAGTACATTAATTAAAGGGCTAGTAAAATTCACACAAATGTTAGAACATTTATTACAATAAGAGTACATTAATTAAAGGGAGTAGTAAAATTTACACAAATGTTAGAACATTTTGTTACAATAAGAGTACATTAACTAAAGTAAAATTCACATGAATGTTAGAACATTTTGTTACAATAAGAGTACATTAATATAAAATTCACACAAATGTTTGGTATTCACTCCTCCATAATTTTCATTGTAATATTACACTTATGTTTTACTCATTACTTTGAAGTTGAAAAAACATTGGGTTCATTTTGGTATTTTCAACTTGAATAGTAGTTAATGTATAAAGGAAAACAAGCAATGGCATTAAACACATTTTATACAGTAACACTGTTTATTTCAGTCTAGCCTGTTTTCTTAGAACCTGTCTTTGGTTCTTCCTGCTAGTCAGGTTTTTTTCCCCATGCTGATACAATAAGATTATCCAAACTCTCATCTTTCAATGTGGTTTTTATAAAGCCAAGTCTTTAGCTATTGTTACAGAATCTGTTATTAACAGCAGTTGGTACTCTCTGTGTAAAGGTGGAAAAACGTTTTTTTTTCTGGTGACAAAATTACTTTCTTCACAATTGGATTTATGGTGGTCATTTTGAACTGAATGGGTTGCCATGACAATATCTCGGAGACTAAGACTGGGTGAACTCATTCTGTGACTCAACACTGAGATAAAGTAACATGATAGGAAAAAAACCTGTAATGTCAAGCCGTATCTTTAATTATAGCTCCAAAAATTTGTTGTCTAGGATGTTTCTGTCCACTCACCTCAAGGCCCAGATGTAAACAAATGCAATACAACATTTAGTGATGCTGTATCCTAACTCTTGATAATCGTTAAACCAGGATGGTGAAAAGGAATATTATTTTTGAAAAATGTGCAGAGCTTTGGCTGATGGGTTCCAAACCGAATCAGAGAGGACTTCTCATTTTCAGTCAAAGTATCAAATTACTCTCCAGGTCCATGGTGAAGGGTAGGATCTGCAACACCTGTAGAAAGGTCTCCACCCTGTCTCTGTTATTACACCAGTACCGTTCTCCAGGTCCATCACCTGTAGAAAGGTCTCCACCCTGTCTCTGTTATTACATCAGTACCGTTCTCCAGGTCCATCACCTGTAGAAAGGTGATCATTCTGTTTCTGTTATTACACCAGTACGGTTCTCCAGGTCCATCACCTGTAGAAAGGTGATCATTCTGTCTCTGTTATTACCCCAGTACCGTTCTCCAGGATGAAATAAGCAATGATTTTGTACCGGAGAAGTCTAGATGAGAGTTGAATTGGAAATCAATATAAATTTTATGTATAACGTAACTTGTAAACATTACAATTCAACTTACTTCGCCCAGTTCCAAAATGTAACATCCTGGCTCCTCTGCGGAGATTTTGTCGTTGTTGGTTTTGATGCTATGGTGTGATCATAGCTTTGTATTATATCTATATACATAAAACGCATACATAATCGCTGTAATAATTTTCATTATGCTTTTTCAGTAGGCGTCATTGAAATCTGTCTTACAAATCAAACTCTAAATCTCATTTCGATATTTTCTGTTACCTTTTTTCCCCCGTTATTGACACTTCATCCATTATTTAACTCCCCTGACAATTATGATGATAACCAAACAAAGATCGACGTCCATTCTCTAGGTACCAACAATACACGTGCACGTCTCCCGCGGGTTGACTATAACTATGGCCTCAATCCACTAAAAAATAAAAAGCTCGTACTCTGTAAGTATGCAGTCTGCACGAAACTAATTTAGCTGTAGAAGTTTCTCCCCCTTGTCAAGATCTTGGAAAAATTGAATAATATGATTTTTCTTTGTTTATCGCTAATGTTCTCGATCGATGAAAGATTCTATTTTAAAGCAAAAAAAAATCAAATGTGTGTGTGTGTGTAATAAATTTTAAAATGATCAACACTTTTTGTTTTCCCCTTTATCTGTATCCCCCCACTTAATGGTACAGTATAACGTTAAAAACCGGGTTTCGATACCCGTGAGTGGCAAAGCACATGTACCCGGTGTGTAGCTTTGCGCTTAACAACGAACGAACAAACTAACATTTATACTGTGTTTCGTCGAAATGGAAGAACGAGTGTCTACAAACAAATGATTGGGCGGTCTAGCAGCGACCGCCGTCACAAAGTCTTTCTTCGTGCTCTTGGAACCAAATAACAAGATTACCTGTCACTTTTATAACACAATTCAAAGTATGAAGCATATTCAGCAGTATTATATCTCAAACTTAGATCCTAACGATTGGACCCGGGTATTTCTTTCGAATTTGTCAAATCCTTTATAGCTGTTGATCCTCTTT